TATATATATACACTTCACTTGCCTCATTGACCTTTGAACAGATCTCTGAGGGTGCTTGCCACAGATGCAGGCCAAATGTCAGAAAAGAATGCTACTGGAACACAGCCATACAGCCTGAAGAATTCACAGCAACCCAGTGGTTCTGGCCATGAAAGACTTCGGCAACGTATCTATTATCTCTCTTACTATTTGTTTATCTGACTATCTAATATATCTCTTATCAATCTGTCCTATCTTTATCTATCTATCTATCTATCTATCTATTGACTCTGTCTATCTTGTCTGTCTGTCTCAAAATATGGTAATAGAAAGAAAAAGGAAAGTGGGCCAAAGCAATCTGCAAACTTTCCAGATAAGGGTGTTTTTGCAGAGTCGTGATTTTCCCAGCGTCGCCTCCCTCCCACAAAAGCTTCCCAGGTCTACAAATTATAGTAACTAACTGCCCCCATTTCTCCACCAACTTGGCAGCCCAGCTCTTGTTAAATTTAAGCCCCCACTTGTGTTGGTGTAACGTAAGAGGCAAGGCAGGCATCTCCTTTGGTGCAGCAAGACCCCAGAGGGTTATGAAACCCAAAAGATGCTCGTCTTCGAACCTTGGAGGAAACAGAGATCTCTGCCTGTATAAGGAGGAAGGGAAGCCAAACTTCCCTGTGTTTTTCTCATGCAAATGTTACCTGCTCTCCACCTCCTCTGTGGCATCTTTCTTGGCATGACTTTGCAGAGCAGGTGGTCTGAGAAAATTGAGAATCTTGAGCCAAGATTCCCTGAAGAAATAACGAGGCAATGGTCACAAACCACTATGTAAATGCCATCCTTCTTTGAAATTAGATGCCTGCGAAATAATTCATTGAGTCATCTATTGAGTCATGCTGGGAGACCTAAAAAATCCTACAAAGGTGTTCAGTAGTGTGAAGGAGCATAAAACTACTGCCACCAAATTTGTGAGGAAAGCCGGGCAATGATCAGTATCAGCTTAAGAGTTGGTTTATAAAGGGACTATTATTTACAGAAATGTTTATTTATTTGATAGCGTAGCGTTTAATGTCCCTGGTTTGGTTTTACTTCTTATGCAGGCTGTTTGGCTTA